GTGTAGGGTGATCTAGTGGAAACATGTAACATAACCAGTAGTATACTATCATGCGCATCATGAATGGGAACATAGCTATGAATATCAGGAACAGGAACATAGCAGTAACACAATAGTATGCTAAAGGTATCATGAACATCAGGAACAGGAACAAAGCAGTAGAGCGCTAACAGCAGGAACAGAAGAAGGAGAAGGATATACCCCGAGAATGGCCCTCCGCTGGATTGTGAGGCAGAATTGCCTCCGTTGGTGTTGTTGTTCGCCGCACCACCTCCGGATCCTGGCGCGCCACCTCTGGCTCCAGGTGCGCCATCTCCTCCAGCAGCAGCGGCGCCAGCTCCAGGCGTAGACATGGCGAGGACGAGCAGTCGTGCGGGAAGCACTCCCCAAAAACCTAATCACCCGTCTACCCGGTGCAGATCTCAGGCGAAGGTGTGGTTTCGGAGGCCCTGCTCCTTCCAATCTCTCGTGCGCGCAAGGGATCATAAGCGAGGAAGCGAGAGCAGCATAGGCGCGGAGGAGAAGGAACTAACACCGGGAAAGAAGCAAGCGATCAGAACAGATCGGACTCGCGGCCTCCTTATCTATCAGGAGAGAGGCTATCGTGGGAACGTGGACGCACTGTTGCGGGGCAGTCGTGGGAACGTGGTTTAGTAGCTGCAAAAGAGTAGCGACGTGACGTGACGCACGCACGCCGCCAGCCAGCCTCCCTATTTAGGTTGAGATATTCCTCGCTTAAATCCTGAGGTGGTATTATTATCCTTAACACTTATTATGGGCCTTTGAGATTTAATAGGATAAGTTGGGCCTAGCCCAATCATTCTAACAGCTGGCGTGGCTTCTTAGAGCCGATAAAGCCGGTTAGCGCGTGCTGCGGCAAGATAGATAGAAACAGATCAGCCGGTTAGTTTGTTTCCCTTTCCGATTAAACTTTTCCATATTTTTGTGGGACCAATTAGGATTGTTGAAGATCGATTAGAGTAACCAGTATATACTGGTGACGGCAGATTGGAAGAAACCCCGAACATTTATCAATCTACTATTTTCCTGTTCTTTACTTTTATGTTCTTTTCTATTTTGTTTTCATGGCCAAGTCATTTGGTTAATCTTTACCGTTTTGCGCTGAAAAACGGTCGTGCTTCTCCACGAAAACAAGAAGGTTATCCTATGCTAGTTTGCTCGGAAACTAGTCGTTCATCGTCACGTAAGTACGATATTTATCTTCTTTGCTAATTTGCTTGTAAATTAGTCGCTTGATTCCGCGAAAGTGAATTAATCTTGAAATCGGCTCTGCTAGCCGGTTTTGATCTATCCATTTTGATGACTCTTTTGATTATACCGCAAATCATTAGGTGATCTTGTGTTGGCCACGAAAAAACGTCAACAGAATCTCGCGATGCATCCAAAACAATAAACGTAGGGAATACTTTTGCGAATCTAAAGATGGTGGTTTTGTTCACAATGGTGTTCGGATCATCGCCGGAGGCGAGTCCGAGTGACGGCTGTGCAGGGGCTGGTACTGCATGTTGCTTTGGGGCTTCGTTTTCGCTAGATGCATGCATGCATGCTGTATTGGATAGCAGCGGCTTCGGTTGGAACGGCTCGACGGCGGCGCTCCTCCTCGGGTGAACGGCGATGACTCGATCTACCTAACAACCTGGCATGCATGGGGTCACTTGATGTTAGTGAAGTCCCTAGGGTGGTGTAGGTGCGAGGAATCGAGGTAAAGCTCACTGGAGCGGCCGGAATCAAGGATTGAAGACGGGGGCCGATGTTGAGGAAGGTGAGGACGATTTTCCCTCTTCGGAGCTTTATTCTTCGTGTTTCTTGAGGGGAAATGGAGATGAGTACGAGGCGAAGACTATGGCACGATGGCCTGGCCCAGCTTGGTCCAGATCGACGGCGACGGCGAGTAGGCGTCTCGGGGGCCCGTGCGGGCCGTGCGACCGAACAGGCCCCAAATTTTAAGTGCCCCTAAAATATTAAGTATGCTCTATATATAATAATATTAGAGGCTTTAATTTTGTTAATTTGTAGTCCAAATAGTAGTAAACACAAGGCCCAAAACGCTGTAGAAGGTGAATCGATCCATCTTCCATCGTACTCCCGTCCAGGCGTCCGCGTCGTCGCGTATCGCCGAAGTCCCGATGCTGCAGCCGCTTCGTCTCCTCTCCCCAGTTCCATCCTGCCTCCGCTTCTGCTTCATCGCTGATGATCGGCTAATCGCCACACCCGTTTTTAATTTTACTATAAAAAATTTACTAGGCTATTAAGGCCCATTTTAATATTAAGCACGGGCACCCGATTTGGCTGGGACGCCCCTGCGGCGATGATGCCACCACAGCGACGCTTGGAGCGCGCTCTGGAGCTCTCGTGGGCATGTCGGCGTTCCCGTCACTGCAGTGGATGAAATGAATTGGTGTTAAAGTAGAAAATGATCGGCATGGAGGAAGGAGTATAGAACGGGAAAGAGATGACGGCGTTCGTGGCTTGACGACGACGGCGGCCTTCGTCTTCCTCACGGTCGGCGACAAGGATGTGGGTGACGGAGAGGCTGAGAGCTCTCCTTTCTCGATCTGGTCGGCTCTGGGGTGTGAAGTGGAGATGGGCGACGCGTCTGGGAGAGGTTGAAGGTGAGCTAGGCGATCCCACGTCGAGTCCACGCGTCGAGCAGGTCGTTCTCTCGGTTTCCCTCTCTCTCCCGGCTGTTTTGTTGTCTGTGGGTCGGGTAGAGCGGTGGAGGAGAAGATGGACAGGGCGTGGGCAAGCCAGGGAGGCTGCCAGGTGGGCCCAGGTCGTGGCAAACTAGGTGGGAATTTGATGGATGCTTAAGAAACTGGGTGAACATGATTTCTAATGATTGTTCCAGGATTATTTCCTTTTCCCATATTAGTTAATTCATAGATCAATTTGTGGTGCAGATAAATTCATGTGGATTTTACTGGAGGTAGGTGTAAATACCTAGTTTCCATTTTCGTTGGTTGCACTCAAGAATTATGTGTAGTTTGCTCTCAGAAAATTGGAGAAAATACGCTCGGTGGAAACTAGTTTAAATTTTTAGGAGGTCAAAACGGAGAAGATAAATTCTGTAAAAAATATATTTATTCATAATAAATGACCTAGTATTTGAATAAATTATTTCACTCATATACTTCTATACAGTTTAATGCATATTTTGGTGAGGGTAGGTTTTAATCGATAAAGGATTATAATTAACCTACTATTTGACCGGTTTTATTTGACGTATCAAATTTAGTTATTGAATTGTACCAAAATTACAGTGGGTTATATGTGTTGAGTAAAGCCTACATGAATTTTTCCATGATTTTATCTTACACGAATCATTTTAGATAATTAGCAGACTTTTCTTTATATAGGTTTCCAATTTATAAATGGGTCTACATAGTTGTAAGAAATTTATTTAGACTACTCTTGACCTGAGGTGGTATCATTTGACTTCATTTTCATGTCTTTATAATTATTGCTCAAGTGTGATTATAGGTTTGCTTTACTTATGCTCATGGGTCCTAATATGCAATGCCAACAAAAAAAATCCAAATGCACAAAGAAGACTCAAGTTGAACCATGTCATATGTGTGTATGAATGCTTACACTTGTGTTTGTATCTATGTCCTAGGTTATAAATGAAAAAGTTTTAATTTGCCCTCAAATTTTATTCATGCAAGAGTTAGATCAACTTCACCTAGGTTTTAAAAATGGAAATTTTTGGTTCAAAAAATTGGAGAACTTCCCTTTCAACTAATTTTGATGAAAATTCCTTAATCCTAGAAATCAGGTATGTTACACAATATCATATTATTGTACTTTACGTGAAATATATTTGATGTACACTATGAATTAAGTTAAAGCTCAATTACACAGATCATAAAAAATTATTTTTTTTTGCTAACATGAGATTTTAAAAAGTATTAAAGACAATAAAATTACACCGTAGCGTTTAGCACGAATATATTACTAGTTAGTAGAAAGTAGAAAGAACAAACAAAACCATTAATAATATAGGCTCATCAATTAAATTCCTGTTACATGTACTACATGTATGCCATGCCAATATTAGTCAAAGTAAGGATAGTCGTAGTCGTATTCTATTTCACAATCGTCCTCTTTGTGTTCTGGCAGAAGTCTATGTCCCGCGATGAACTTGTTCCTATCACTAGGGTGCATGAGGAAGCTCCGTTGACGGAAACAAGCATTGCAGTTGACGCCATAATCACGAGAAATTTGGAGGATGCAGCACGCGACGACGCCATCCTCCCCACCACCGACGGCGGCGCCTTCGTGGTCGACCTACACCTCCGCGAAGAACCGGGCGGCCGATCCGGTGGCCTCGCAGGAGGCGATGAAGTTGTAGTGGCAGTAAGTCAGCCCGGACGACTCCGGTGGCGGCGGCTCCGTCAAGGTGGTCATCTTGCACAGGTCCTCGAGGAAGAAGGTGTCGCCGCCGGCGGGCACCGCGGCGTTGTACACGCGCAGGGCGGCCCTGGCGTTGCTGACGTGGCGCTCGTCAGTCACCACGTGCCATTCTAGAGAGAGGGTGTCCATGGTTACGTATTGTGGTTTCGCCTCCGGTTCCATGGGGGGTTTCGTGGGTTTGCGCGGTGGTGCTCCCGCTCCGGCTAGCGAACGCGAATCCATGGAATATATCCCGTCCCTTCCCTTCCCTTCCGTTTCTCCGATCCTCGTGTGGGCGATGAATATATTGGGCGATAGCTGATCAGCGAGTGACTAAGATGGAGAAGGAGTTGGTTGGTAGTCGAGCGGCCATCCATCGATCCATTATTATATGGCCTGGGCGCGCGCGCGGATTGGAGTCGGAGAGGGAGTAGCAATGTATTCCGAGCCGGTCTCCAACTAGGCCTCGTTCGGCAGCGCCAGGAATGGCCCGGAACGAAGTGGCCCGTTTCCAAATCTGGTCTGGCCCGGAAGCGCCGTTCGTTTCGGCCGGCCCGGATTGGAAACGGGCCTCCCTCCCCCCTTCCTGGCCCGGATTCAATCCCCACCTCCCACCCTCCGGCTCCAATCCTGACGCGAGGCAGCGGCGTGCGGCTGGCGACGCGAGGAGACGGCGTGGCGGCGCACCGACGTCGACGGCGACTGCTTCCCATCCGACGTACGCGCTCTCCGCTGCCTTCTCGCCGGTAACGCATCACCGTCGTCTTCCTTTGTTCCTGCTAGGGTTCTTGCGGCGGATTCGGCTGCTGGGGCCCTTCGTGGAGGAGCTCCGGGAGCGGAGGGGGGAGGGGGAGGAGGAGGAGGAGGAGGAGCGGGCGCTACCGCCGCTCGCCGCCGCGCTCGAGGCGGCGCTCGCGCTGCTTCTTGATTTTCTTCGATTCGTGGTCCTGGCCGCCGGCGCCCCGCATCTCGATGTCGTCGTCGGTGGTCGTCGGGGGTCGGGCTATGGTGGTGGTGCGCCGCTCCGGCGACGTTGTGGACGAGGCAGCGGGCCACAGCGCAGATGAGCAGCCTCGCCGCGACGACGATGGCGACGACGATGAGCACCGCCAGGAAGTAGTCCAGCGCCGACCGGTGCACGCGTTGGCATTCGGCGAGGCAGATGCAAACCATTGCTTGCTTTTGCTTGCTGCTTATGCTGTTCTGCATGCAAGAAGTATGTGCGAGAAGTAGCAGGGACAGTGAGTGAACTAGTAGCTGATGATATATTTTTTGGGCGTGTGATGAAAAGCTGGAGAAGATTTGGATTCGTTGCTTGGCTTGGCAAGAGGATAGAGAGATGTTTGAACCTGTACCTTCCTTGGGGCTTTTGGGATCTAGTCGCATTCCAGGCAGTGATTGATCAATGGCTTTTCAGAATGTCTTTCTGGGAATGGATCAGCCTCAACTTTTCAGTAATCTTGATTTTTAATAGGTCTGGTGAACTTGGTGACTGCTTTGGTGGATTGGACTTCTGATTTGAGCCTTCTTTTGGGCCATTTTTTGTGGTCATGGTTGTTCAGGCTTGCATTTGCTTTAGTTTACACGTACATATACATGATTGCATATTTTTCTGCTTTATTTAGAGAAGAAAGCTTTGCGCATCGATGCTGAAATATAAATTGAACTGCACTAGGAAGATGATTTTGCTGCCTCTTTTTTGGTTGCCTCATTCTGGCAACTACAGTGCAGTATCTTAACATTTTTTTTGCAGCTAAATTGCCTCTTATGTAGTCTGTAATAAATGACAACGACAAGTAGGCTCATATTTTCAATTACATCTGCTCCTGGAATAGGACCATTTTCTTTTTAAGCTCTGGGTAGTTTAGGCTAATTAAAAAAACTCAAACATGTGAATAAATGGAAATTCTCTGTTCATTACCAAATTTTCTTTTGAATTTACTTGATATTATGTTGTATTAGACTTCACATATCTACCTATTATATAAGCCGACAAGTTTGGTTTTTTCGAAGCCAGAGATATCAAATGTTGTGTCCACATAGGATAGCCCTTTTCTGATGATAACACAAATGCAGATCCCCCAAGTTTGTTTGAATGCATGCAAACAAACTTGTAAAATGGATAATCAGTAGTTCAGTGTGAAGTTGAACAGCTGAATTGTATTTTTACTTGCACTGTTTTTACTTGCAAGAGTTGTACTACTTCTATATCACACTGTCTAAGTCTAACCGCAAGATTTCTTTGCTATGGCTGCAGCGGATAATCAGTTGATATTCCCAAATGTTGATGGATTGCTGCCAGAGTGACCGGAGCAAGGCGAAGCCAGATTGATTAGTGATGAAGTCCTGAAAAGAATGTGCTTAATCCTGAAATATATTACTGTTTATGCTTAACTAGATAGAAATATGCATGATGTTCTGAATTCTGATGAATGATGACAGCAACTGAATATGGTGAAGAATTGTCCTGATGCTATTCAGGGTGTTCCCTGTCTTTCCATTTGGGAATTTTGGTTAATTAACTCCTGCAATATACTATTACTGTTAGAAATTAGAAATGTGCATGATTCTAATGAGTGATGACATTAACTGAATGTTCTGAGTTCTGAATCACTGGATCCAATCGATCGACAATCCACGGCAGCTTGAATGGCTTCATTCCATTCCAGGTCATACCGAATGCAGTTTTTTGAAGAGGTGGATTAAGAAAAGGAGTGGATTCAATCCACAGGTGGTTCCAGTGAATTCACCCGGATCCATTCAATCCTGGCCTGGATCAGTTCCTGGCCTGGATTGGAAATTTGCCTGCCGAACAAGGCCACGCGGCTCTGATTCGGACTCGGATCTGTTCCTCTTCTAGTTTTCCGTTTCCCCTCTCTCCTGTTCGACTCGGACTCGGCCGCCGCCTGCATCAGCCCCCATCTACCGGTTTTCTCCCATTAGATTCCTACCATTTGCCTTGGCATTGTAGTACTTTGTATTATTATCCCCGTCTATAGTTTCCTGATCCTTGCATCTCTGAAACCATTTAACCCTTTCTTCTCTTATTGTATAATTTAACTTCTGTTCGAACTCCCTTCTCAGTTCACTGTCCTCCCAATTCATCCCATGGACTTTAGTTTTTCTGTCAATTTATTCTATTTGTGAAATTATTTCTTTCTTTTCTCTTCTATACTTACCTTCCCAATTCAGTTCATGTGTCAATTCTCTTAGGAAATCTTCTTTGTTTTCTTTCTAGGCAGCCTCAATCATCAAATCCCACTCCTTATCATTTTTATTCACAATTGTTTGTTTGAAAAAAATATTTCCCTTTTTATTTTTGTCTCTATAATCCCAAATATTTCCTCCTTTAACCCAATCAAAATTCTCCCACACAAAAACTACTTCTCTATCGTTCAATGTTTTAATCTTGCTTCTTGTAAGCCTAACTAGTCCACCCTAATTTATTTAATCAACTCTCTCAAGTGCTTTAGCTTTTTTTTGGGGTTTTTCATGCTTCTTATGCTCTATATAAGACCTCTCTCTTTTTTTTCTTTTTATTGTTTTTCGCAGGTTTTTCTTATTAGTTTTGTTTTAGGGGTTATCTTATCATGGAATCTTATCATGGCAAGGTTTCCGTTTTGTATCTTTTTTGCCACTATGTGAATGAGACTGTATCAACAAACTTTTAAACATATCTATTTCAAATTTATTGTAATCAGAATCTATTTCATCCAACAAATTTAAAATGTCGGGTACAAATTGGGAAGGGGTGAAACTTGCTGATAGAGACGACTAAATGCAATGTTTGGATCGTTAGAAAATACTGAGTCTTTTGCTTCTTAGCTTAGATGGGCTTCATTTCTTTGTGCTCTTTTGTTGTAAAACCTGTGAACGTCTGTTTATTTTTTATATGGCCTAGTCGCTGTAGCAGAACCTACCTTCCTTTTCTCTTTTATGTGCTGTAGCCTGATCTACGTTCTATTAATGAAAATGGAGGGTATTTGATAAAAAAAATTCCATCTTCTCTTTCACTCCCACGACGACATGAGGGCCAAGCTCCGGGGTTACCATGTCGTGATGCGACGCATGGTTTTCACCCGTACCTTCGCCATGATCCTCGGGCATGGGGCACTCTATCTTCTACTGGGCTCGATCGACTGGGCCAAACTCATTAAATACTAGTTGACAATGATAGGACTTCTATTGGTGACAAGAAGAGCGATGAATCAGAAATGATAACTAGTTTTATCTAGGGAACTGCTGCAGTGGTCGTAAGGTGGATGCGGCAGATGCAGCGACGATATTGTGTTGCTCGTGAGGAGGCGAGGAGCGAGCCCGCTCGTGAGCAGGAGGTGGTGGCAACCGCTGCGTAGTTCTTATGTTTTGCTCTATAGCATACGTTTCTGTACTGAGCTATTGTTGTTTATGGATTAAACTTTGGTTATATGTTTTGCTCTATGGAGTAGCATTTTGATTCTATTTTTCTGTATTGAGCTAGTATTGACTTGGGCCTCATTTCCATATAAGTTGCTGTTTGAGATGCAATTACTGAAGCAGCAATTATATGGTAGCATGACGATTGAACTAAAAACTACAATGTCAACCCTATTAGTTCCATTCTAGGGCAGTGATTATGTGAAAATAATTGAAGCTGTGTTGGCGGCGTAGCCTGCTCCACTTGCACCATTACCGGCCGATTAAGGTGCATAGCTGCTGCTCACCGTCGTTGCCATGCACGGCTAGTGGCGATCACCGGCACCTGGCGCAGCACGTCGATCATTTTCGAAGGGCGCACAGCGCCGGCACAGGGACAGGGTGCCTAATTAACTTGTCGTCGTTGATCCAGTACTCACACACCTCGCCGGGCGCTGGCACGTACGTGCTCTGCTTCCCCAAGATCCGTTCTGAGAGCGTGGAAGTGGAACGAGACGCCAACGACCGACCGCCATCCCAGTCCCAGACCGACGTGGCAGCGCTGTGCCTCACGAGTGCGCGCGCCAACAAGGAGGGCCAGGATCAGCCCCAAGTCAGACACGCTGAGGTCGAGCACGTTGAACGCGCTGCGGGGATATGGAATCCGCCATTACGATGATCGATGTTCCTTTGCGCGATTCCGGTACGTGTACGCGCGCGCCAGCCGACGTCGTCGAGCGAGTCTAGACTCCAGAGCGCGTCTTCGATTGTCATCTCGCTGCTCATGTCCGCATGCTCGCCGTCCTCGCCATGACGATTGGCGATCACCGCCACCGGCCACCGGGCGTGGCACGCATATTGCAGCATAGGGTGCTGAACATGCCATCCTCGCTGATCTAGTGCTCGCCGTGAACGCCGTCTCGCAAACATCCGTGCCACGCGCCACCTCACCTTAGTCGAGCACGTTGAACCATCGAAGCAGCAGAAGCTTCACTCGGAATGGGCAAGAAAATGTTAACGATGTGGGTGAGGTGGAGGCGAGCAAAAATGGCCCTCGAGGACATAAAAGAAGCTCTTCACGCGCACCGCCCGCCGAGGCTGGCTAGTAGGTGACCGGCCTCTCTTCATCCAGATTAGAGATGAAGACATGGATTCCCTTCGCCATGGTGAGTTTTTTTGTTTTGTTTTGTTGTGTTACATTTTTTTCGCAGCAGCTATTATCGATTTTGGGCCGTGTACGTACGCATATGCTGGATATTTGTTCCAGATTAGGTCTTCTCTCCCTTCCTATAAGATGAATTTATTGATCAGTTTTTTTGTTGCGATTTCTAACCCGTTCTTTCCTGTTTTGACAGACTTTTCTGTCCCAGTCAAGATTTACTTGGATTTACCTTATGTCTTCTCGTAGATAGTATCTTCCAATTTATTAGCAATTTGCTAGTATGGTTCGTACTCAATATGATTCCTGCAATAGTTTACCAAATGACGATCATATACTACAGGATTGGCTCATAACAAGTATAAACAAAAAATATACTGATTGAAGTATCCACTACAAGAATCTTAAAGACATACAAAAGTACAAACCTCTTGAAAGTTAAAAAAAAAAACTCAATAAAATAGTCCAACATACAGTTTTGAAAAAGGTAATTTATAACTGAAATAGTCACATTCTTTCCACTAAATCACATATATACAACAGATAAAGTTGCCATACACCAGAAATCAATACTACATCTTAGCCATATACAGCAGAGACATCCATGCACAGCTCCTTGACTATCTTGAAGAACATGCACCATCTTTGACAAAAACAAATTATTCCAATGCACGCATCAATTCATCATCATGTCCACACAAAATACTCTAAAACGATGAAAAACCGTGCACACTGATATGCAGAGGGCGTTCAATTTTCAAGGGGCCATGTATATCTCCACACACTGCAAACCCCCATTGAACCTGTAAACATTGCCCCCTGAAACTGTCACCGTGGCAACTTGTTCACGGTAGTGCAGCCTCAGGATGCAGTTTGGGTTGCTCGACCACAGCGTTGCTTCTTGCAGGTCAAAGTCCCAGCTGATGTTCATTCACATTGCCACGGGCCCTCGATCCTTTGACATGGCCTTTGGGCCACTTTGCGCGAGGGAGGACGGGTAGCAAGTAGAGGTCGCCATCACCATGGGTGCTCTGGAGCAGCATTGAAGCAATTGCAGTTGTGAATCTGTAAGCCAATATGCACAAGTTAGATAGAAATATTTGGTACCAGGAAGGTTTCTGCTGTGAATAGTATCCATTTTCTCAAATAGGAAAGTAAATGGATCTTACTAGGAAGAACGAAAAGTAAATGACAGTCATTTACTTAAAAAAAGCTACTTCCTCCGTTTCATATTATAAGACTTTCTAGCATTGCTTATATTTATATATATGCTAATGAATCTAGACATATATAGCCTAGATTCATTAACATCGATATGAATGTGACCAATGCTTCTTATAACCTGAAACGGAGGTAGTAACTATAAAGGTGAGATATTTGTACCCAAAATTTGCATCAATCTGGAAGGGTGGGTGTGCTGTCCAAAGATTGGTATACAATCCTCCCTCAAAGTCAACCTTGCCACCAGGAGGAACCAAGGTGATCAACTTTAGGATCATCCTGTATGCATTCTCAATATTCAGAAGGCGTGCCCATAGTGCCATCTTCCATGTGTGGTCGACCATCCAGGACCATCTTCACCTGATAAGCAAGCAGCAACGATTAACTTACGTCCTATGGATAAAATTATCCAACCACTATTCATGAAAATGTTTTTTAAGGCAACTTATGTACATCCTCTCTCTTGCAAAAGTTTATATTCCGCAAATATATTCCTTGGTAGTCAATACTCATGAGGAAATCATAACAAATTTGAAGTTTATTAGTTTATTTTTTTTTCTACTTATACTCTTAGTTGTTTTCTCTTCATTTACCCTGCAATGGAATTTGTTACCATCATTTCACCAATACAACATGATTAGTCCACGTGCTTGGTTAAAATAAATTGACATTAAACAATTACAACAAGAGAGGGGGGGGGGGGGGTAAATCTCTTGGTTCTGGCTGTAACCAGAAACTAGTAGTGCATAGGGTTTAGGAGATCCTAGATATGGAAT